TCTTCGACCTGTTTAAACTCAGATTGATCTGATTTTCCCAAACAAATGTGCGCTTACCTGTAATTAGCTATCAAGCTCAAAAAATTACTCCAAAATGAGGTGAAATGATCGAAGTTTTTTTTTTTTTTAAATTCCGACCAAAGGCTGATACTTTTGCCAATTTTTCGGGAAAAATACCCTCACTGATTGTCCGGATGGCCTTGACTTTCTGTGAATTTAGTCATTTTTTCATAAGTTTCCTATCCTTTCTTAACGTGTCGTTTAAAATTTGAACAGCCACACTGCGTCTTAGTTTGCTTTGAAATTAGATCAGTGTTACATATTACCTTTTTCTCATCATTAAGCACATTATTATTCCAAAGTGACCACAGGTAGAAAGCAGGATCCAGTTTTTATCAAGCATTTTTTGCAAAGCACTATCGGTAATTTTACATTACAGCGAAAAGCAAAGCTGTTCTGGTCGAGTGATGTGTCCATTGCGATGGATGGAGATGCGGACAATTCGTCCGCCCTGGACAGCACATTTTTTGCCGAGATCAACGAAATCAGGAATGTGTTAGCAAAATTGTCGGACGATGTAGCTAGCATGAAAATTCGGCAACACTCTTTACTCGCTCAAACTATTGTAGAAGAGAAGGAGAAGGTAATTTTAATAGTTTGGTTAACTAATAATCTTTAACAAATCTATAAAGATAGAATAACAGAATAAAAAATAGGGTATATTAATAACGGATGAAAGAAAAGGAGGAGTAAAACAGGAGATAAGAATTACAAAATTTGTAAATTATAAGAAATATTTTAACGGTAGGAAATGTTTCGGTCCATTAAGTCGTATACATTTCTTATCATTACCACAATAATAACAGTAACAGTATACAAGCCCATAATAGTAAAACAGAATAATAATTAATATATCAGAACTTAAATCCCTTCCGTATTCGCCCTGTGTGAGAAATGGAAGCTTTCGAGTAATAGCTCAAGCGGTAGCAGCTGCCAGTCGCTGGTAGGGCTGTAAACGCTTTTCAAGGTTACTTACGAGCTGATGGCGATTCTGTTTTTCTGATACAAATTTACTATCGAGACCGAATAAATGGGTCTCAAAGGGATTGATTGTCTCACCTGCAAAGTCGAACTCCTGACTCTCGCATAAAAATAGCAATATTTGCCTAAGCTCCTTCTAAGTCAGAAGAGGGAAGAAACAAGGGTACAACAGTTTACAGAGATGATTCAAGCGCTTTTCTCCCTGTTACGCTTCAAGCCCGAATTTGCCGCGAGTGGACTTTATTATACCAGAAAGAACGACCAAGAACGGTACTGCTTCAGCAGTGCCAACTCACCAACAGCCACTTTTCAAGCTTTTTTGTCGCGTTGTACACCTCGTTAAAAACACAATGAACGAATGAACAGTGGCAACCTTCGGAAGAGTTGTAAGCCTTGTACACAATAAGCGTGTACACAATAAGAATCAATTATTTTCCAAAAACTTTTGTAGATCTTATTTTCGTTTCGAAAAGTGAAAATCTGATCACACATCTATAGGATAGTCACAAAAAACAAACTACTACGATAACATCCCTTCAACACTAAAATATTGAAGAAATCTTTATTGTAACGTTTTGCATGGTTTCATAAGAACAGAAACAGCAGCCTTGCTCTCACAGATAAAGTATCTTTTTTAGAAATGATTACGGGTTAGGAGGGATTCATATCTGGACACGACGTGCTATCCACTACACCACCAGTTTCTATGCTTGATCTCCAACTGAAGCAAAGATTTGACTTCTATATATGCTAACAGCATATATTTCACTGTGCATAGCTGATGCTAGTACCACCAATTTTTGCTGACTTTTAGCGGGACTTCCGCAATACTTGAAGAGTACTGGCAAGTGAGTCATCCACGAGTTCAAAGCGTCGGAACTCATTGGCCAAGTGAATTCTTTCTTTGACGAACAAAGCATCATGACTTTTTAGGAGTTTTTAGGACAAATTGGACGAATGTATTTCCGGAATAAAGCACCGCGCAGGCTTGCTTCGAAGGCATCTGGTAGCGATGAAAACGAACGTGGAAATGATGGGAGGAGACAAAAACAGTAGTGCTGTTAGGCGGATTAGACGGAACCACATCGAAGCTCTAATGAAGAAGCTCGCCGATTTGCTGGAGATGTTCAATGCTGCTCAAATTGATTACAGAGCACAAGTTTCTAGTTCGTTTAGTTCCTCACAAAAAATTTCCAGTTTTTAAGGGTTACTCTGACATAGCCCGAATTTTACAAATAAACCTATTCTTATCAAAAACTATAGCAGCTTAATAAAACTTTTATTTATCAACAATCCAGGAGGTCAACCCCACCCCACCCCACCCCACCCCACCCCACTCCGCACTCGTTTTTTATAAATAAATGGACCATATAGGGCTTTGAAATTTATACATCGAAACGAATAAATGTATCACGTAGGGCTTGAAATTCTTAAAAAATGCTTATTTGGAACGAACAGAGACAAATATATGCGAGAAGCTTTATTTTGGTTTAGGGAGTCTAAGTCTGCTATAAAATGCCTCAGCTGAAACCCTAGTACGCTACTGAAGTAACAGGAGCACCAAAGTCACTGGAGTAAGCGGTGTGGATATACCATTTCAGTAATTTTACTGAAATATCCCAGTTACAGCTATGCCAGCTCTTTCGATCTCAGGCTACAAAAATCCAAATAATATCTACCATATGCATATACTCCGCTTATACATTAGCTGGAGTAAAAAGCACTGAAAGAAAGAAGCACATTGCTCCTCATCCCTTGAATAATATAGAAATCCCGGAAATTTAAGAACGGATCAAGCGTCAGCTGGATATCGCCGGTGAGCATCTGACTGAAGATGAAGTTAATGCAATGGTGGATTCGAAGTCACCGCAGATCTTCAACAGGTTCTCATACTGTTTCTCAAAACATTCCGATTAAGAAGAAATTAACGTCCCTTAACACTATGGTACCACCAAACCCTCGGCCTAAATGATACATCCGACAAAAGCACTCTTCTTTTCCTTTTACTCTTCAGCCGATTTACTTCCGAGATTTAGTGTCCTTGATTTAGTTTGAGCATCTTATTATCATAGTTCAAACAACCGGGGCCTTTTTTCCAAAAAAGTGGAAAATTTTTCTGATTCTAATGCATACACAAGTATCGTGATTGTAATAAGCCTGGTACTTAGAAGCACATAATAAGCTTAAGTGCGATAAACGCCGAATCTGTGATAAAGAGCTCGTATTTGACGGAGAAATGGAATCATAACTTACTGCAAAACGAACATGCTATTATAGCACAGTTGCAGGAGTGTTCGTTCAACAGCAGTTAGATCAGCTCTGGATGACGCTACTTCGAGGCATAACGAAATCTTGAATTTGGAAGCAAGTATTCAAGAACTCAATGACCTGTACAGCGACCTAGCTTTTCTCATACACGTTCAGGTAATCTAGTTCCTTGACTCATAAGTTAAGCCTTTGCAATTAATGCTAAATAAAACCAGAGTATGTTAAGTACTCGTACTGCGACGTAATTTAACGTAGTCTGACGCACTTACGTGATTTATCAACAGAGATGTTTTGAATGCGTTTCTCTAGCTATACAAGAAAACGGTGATGCCAAGTGCGTGACGTGGGTCCTTTGAATTTTGCCTTAATCTGCTAAAAATGCAAGTTTACAAGGATTCAGATACGTGCTCAGTATTCAGATACGGTTTAATGTTAGGAAGAGGACATTTTGAGATCCACTGTACGAGTCAAAGCAATGTACTATATTCTGCTTATATTACAGCCTAATGCTGTCATTCGGCGCTTGCACAACTATTTGCAGGTTAATATATAGCAAAAGAGATCTAGTCTTGATATCGATAAAGCAATGAGAAACTGTCATGAGCTTGCTTGCAAGTACTTCTTAGAAAATCGGCCAACTCTTCACCGAGTGGTTGCTCTTGGTAATATTGCACTACCACTCGACCTAAAAACTGCGAGTTTTTCAAAAAGAGTGAATTACTAAAGAAGTTTATGCTGTGGTTTTTCAATTCGAGTTAGATTTTATAACTAAGAAATTGGCCAACGCACGGGCTGCCCGTGCGAAGATGCGTTTTTTGCAGAGTTCCCCGCAGTTT